CTAGGGTTCTAGGGGTTTGAAAATTGAAAGTTTCCGGTTTACCAAACAGTCTTAATCCAGGCAGGATCAATGGCGAAGTGAGGGTGCGGTAAACAAAGTCCTTACTCAGTCACAATATGTGATAATGCGCCCCAAATCCTAACGGCTTTAGGGTTTGGGGTTGAGGATACAACTGTGCCATGATATCCCCGAAACCAAACCCTAAACCTTAAACCATATTCTCGTTTCTAAAGCCCCGCAAAGCCCCGAAACGTGACTCCCGTGTCCGGTGACCTGCGAGGACCTGGTCCGTGGACGGCCCTGCAGTATTGACTTTCAGGCCGAACTTGGGGTAAACATGGGTAAACGTTTACGATTTTAGGGCTTCGGGTTCCAGCTAAAAGTTAAGGTTTAGGTCTGCAGGGTTTCCGGGTTTTTTAAGATGTTTGGTTGCTACGTTCTAGGTTTTTGGGCTTTATGTTTGCAGATTTGGTGGGGTTTGGGGGTGTATGGTTTGGGGTTAAGGTTTAGGACCAGGGCTTAAAGTCTAAGGGTGAGGTACCGGGTGCGGGGTTTAGGCTTTTTTCGATCGGTAACTTTGTGTTATGTCTTATGTCTCTGTTTACTTTACTATACTTTCTTAGGGGGTGGGGGAGTTGAGATGTAAGGGCGAAGGTTTAGAGAGTGTTTTAGGGGTAGAACTTAAATTTTTATTGAAGACGTAGGGTTCAAAAACAAACGCAGGCAGAAACACGGACAGACAGACGAACAGATAGACAAACAGGCAGACAGACACACAGACAGTCAGTCCCACAGACCGAAAGACAAACCAGCAAGCAAGCAAGCAGAGAAACAAACAGATGCACAAACGGACAAACAAACAGGCAGACAAAAAGAGAAACAGGATTTGTTGTTATCCTGCGTTGCTTTTTCTAGAAAGCATTGCTGAGTCCGGATGGTTTCCCGGTGACTCGTTTACCCGCGTTTAAGAACGTCTAAGCTGCGCAGCGGGCCTGTCAATGCAGGGTGTCCGGTTCATCTATCCGATGCGTCCGGAGAACGTGGTCCTTCACGCCTGCAGCTTCAGTATAGGCACGGCCGGTTAGCCCTAAACAGCCAGTCCACAGCCCAATGTCGAGTGAAGGAAACCAGGTTCGAGGGTTTAAGGCCAGCAGTCATTGGGTAGGGCTTGTGTTAGTTCGAAATCGGTTTCTTAAGCATTTGAGTCGTGGTGGCATGCGAATTGAATAGCTTTGTGCCCCCACTCGCCGTCCCCTAATCCTTTCGAGTTGTGTGGTTGGACCAGCAAGTAGAGGGGATCGGAGGAATGTAGGTAAAGAGGGAGCAGCAACAGAAGAGATGGCAACCGATCTCCTCCGACTTCATCGGGTTGTTCAAGAAAGGACGTAGCTCCGAAGCCCTGTCATTGAAGAAGGTGAGGTTCGATAGATTCCAAATCCCAAACCATATTAGCAGCCGTACAAGCAAGACCTTATATACTCTAGACGCCATGCCTTGTTGTGAAGCCGAAACCCTGAACCCCAAACCAAAAAGAAGCTTGAATCGGGAACCTGGTAGACAAAATATAGGGGCCTTAAGAATTACCTATGCTATTTTGAGGGGTTCCTTATTGCAGCTCTAATATGTGGGGCCCCCAAAACCTGTTCTAATATTTAAGGCCCTAATATTATATTTGACTTGTAGCCCAGAGCCGAAAAACATCAAATCCACCCGAGCCATCAGGTCTCAAAGGGGCGAAATAGGGAAAAGCAGACCGGGGCACTACATGGAGGGTTTAGAAAAGGAGGCGTATTTATTTTAGGATTTTTTTTTTTGGGGGGGCGGGGGGGCATTTTTTTTTTTTGGCTTGTGTGCGCGCTTGGCTTGGCTTCTCGGCTTCCCTGGCTTCTTGGCTTCTGGCTTCTTGGCGGGCCTTGGTTTTCTTTTTCCAAGGTGCGGCCAACCCTTGTTGGCGAGGTGCGGCCAAGGGTCCCTGGTGCATGCGGTCCCCTAGTCCTCTGGTCCTTGGTCTTGTGGTCCCCTGGTCCTCTGCTCGCGGTCCCCTAGTCCTCTGGTCCTTGGTCCTGTGGTCCCCTGGTCCTCTGGTCTGCTGGTCCTCTGGTCCCGTGGTCTCCTGGTTCCCTGGTGCATGCGGTCCCGTAGTCCTCTGCCACAACCACAACCACAACCACGGGATAGGGGTTTAAAACAAATCAAATAAGAATCAAAAACATAAAATAAGGATCACACAGAAATTAAATAAGGATCAAAAAATAAACAGGTATCCACGAAAGGAGGGGGGGGTAACGGAGGAAAGAAAGACAGAGAGAGAGAGAGATCAAAAGAGAAAGAAAGAAAGAAGGAAAGCAAGAGGGACAGAGAGAGAAAGAAAAAGAAAGAAAGAACGAAACAAAGAATGAGCGGAAGAAAGCAATAAGGCAAGAAGAAAGAAATACACAAAAATAGTTATAAGGAAAGAAAGAAATCAAAAATAAACAAATAGACAAATAAGGAAAGCTATAAGGAAAGACAAAAGAAAACACAAGGAAAGGACGAAATAGAGTCAGAAACAAAGAAAAACAAACAATAAAGACATAACGAAATAACAAAAATGGAGAAAGAACGACGAAAGGACATAAATTAACTAATATGTTGTTTTGTTCTATGTTATCTTCTGTTATATTGTATTGTCGTCTTTTGTTATGTTATTAGATGCTACATGAAGCAAGGTTCTGTTATATCAGATAATGTCACACTATTTTTGTGATGTCGAACCATCTTATGTCGTTCTTATGGTTTACTATGTTATATTATGTTATAGAGTGTTAACGGAAGAAGAGACACGAACAGGCACGGAAGAACGAAAGACCCACCGCCGCGCTTTTCGAGCTGCGCAAGCTTGATTCAAAGAGTGTTTTCGAAACCCATCATGTGAGCGTTGTGTCTGCAAATGGGGGGGGGCTGCCAACCCCCCCGCTAACCAGAATCGCCAAATGAGGGGGTGTGTTTAAGATAGGTGATGAAGCGGAATACCAGCAAGAGCTACAACACGAAATCCGTCCTAAATGCGAAATTGTAACGAAAATTTGATTTTCCCGAGGAACAAGCAAAGATAACGTATGTTTTCCTTCTGAAAACCTGAAGAAATGACACGAACGCCATAGGTAATAGACAAATGGTGTTTTTCCCAGGAAAAACCAAGGAAAACTTGGAAAATACAACGGAATCCGTGGGAAAATCATGTCTTCCCTAGGAAAAACCAAGCAAATCCTTAGGAAATGAAAGAGAATCCGTAGGAAAACAGTGTTCTCCCTTGGAAAAATTCAAGATTTGCTGTATCTGAAAAGAAAGAAAGAAAGGAAGACAGGACGAAAGAAAGAAAGGACGAGAACAAGAACGAAATAAATGAAAAAGAAAGAAAGCAAGAAAGAAAGGAAGGAAGGGAGTATGAAATGAATAAAGAAAGCACACCAGAAAGAAATAAAAGAAATGAACGAGCGAAAGAAAGAAATCAATCCAGAAAAAAACAGGCAAAATTGGAAAATACGAAAGAGAAAGAACATGAAAGAAACACAGAAACAAAGATACAAGCAATAGGATACTACATAGTCCAATCGAATATGCCATAATATCGTAATGGACCATAAAATATGTAGCATAATGTAACCTGATGTTATATAATATACTAAATATTATGTTGTATATATACAAACTGTATTGTACTATGTTGCAATGTACTACACTATAAACTAAGATGTTGTTTTGTTCTATGTTATCTTCTGGTATATTGTATTGTCGTGTTTTGTTCTGTTATTAGATGCTATAAGAAGCAAGGTTCTGTTATGTCAGAAAATGTCACACTATTTTTGTGATGTCGAACCATCTTATGTCGTTCTTATGGTTTACTATGTTATATTATGTTATAGAGTGTTAACGGAAGAAGAGACACGAACAGGCACGGAAAACGAAAGACCCACCGCCGCGCTTTTCCAGCCGTGCAAGCTTGATTCAAAGAGTGTTTTCGAAGCCCATCATGTGAGCGTTGTGTCTGCAAATGGGGGGGGGGGCTGCGCCCCCCCCAACCCCCCCGCTGAACCAGAATCGCCAAATGAGGGGGTGTGTTTAAGATAGGTGATGAAGCGGAATACCAGCAAGAGCTACAACACGAAATCCGTCCTAAATCGAAATTGTAGCGAAAATTTGATTTTCCCGAGGAACAACCAAAGATAACGTATGTTTTCCTTCTGAAAATCTGAAGAAATGATACGAACGCCATAGGTAATAGACAAATGGTGTTTTTCCCAGGAAAACCAAGGACAACTTCAGGAAATACCACGGAATCCGTAGGAAAATCGTGTTTTCCCGAGGAAAAACCAGTCAGATCCTAAGGAAATGAAAGAAAATCCATAGGAAGATAGTGTTTTCCCTTGGGAAATTCAGGAATTGCTGTATTTTGAGTGATTCAATTTTTTGATCCTTATTTTAAGGTGTTTTTTGATGCCTCTGCCCCAGGAATTGCTGTATTTTACGTGACTTAATCTTTTTTGATCCTTGTTTTATTTTGTTTTGATCCTGGTGCTTTAATTCTTTTGATCCTTAATTAAGTTTTTTTTGATCCCTCACCCTGTCAACCACAAACACAACCACAACCACAACAACAGCAACCAACGATGAAAAAGTACAAAGCGTCTGAAGTATGCACAAACAGAGCTCAACCCTGAAGTCAGCACAGCACTCTGAAGTCCTCTTTGTCACAGCCAGCCTTGAGCCACACGAAGTGTGGTGGTCGAAGTAAGCTGGAAGGAAGTTACTGTACCGGGGAGGTGCACAGAAGTCTTATATCTTAACACGCTCCCTTGAAACAAAGAAGTTCACGAAGTTGTTTCAACCAAAAGAAGCTGCTGCACGAAGTGCTAGGATCGAGCGAAGTTGGAAGTCCTCCAAGCATCGCAGAAGTGGCGCTTGCACAACAGCGCGAAGTGACTCCTTCGAAGTCACCAAAAGAAGTTAGGACCGAAGTCTCAGTAGCGTGCCCTCAGAAGTTGCACGGCAAGCTCACGACTCACCCACGAATCCGCCTCAGAAGTGTTCTCGAACCGGGCGAAGTCCGAAGTCCTCATCGGGATGTGCATGTAGCGGTTGAAGCCATGCGAAGTCTTCGACCAGGCGAGGTCAAAGAACTGTTGGAAGTTGCCCGGAAGACGAATCACCGCCAAGGAAGTGCGGAGGTGAGGTCGCAGCACGAAGTGCTCGCCGGGCACGTTGATGAAGTAGTCGATGTACCGCCGATTCCAGAAGCGGAAGCGGTTACCTTCCACGAAGTTCAAGATCTCGCTCGAGGTCATCCTGAAGGACAGAAGTCCGATGCCTCCTTGAAGCACTCGGTTGGCTTCGGTTGGGGAAGTCTCCAACAGAAGCTGAAGTCCGAAGCACGCAAGCCACACCGCTGACCTCGGAGAAAATGCGAAGTTCAACATATCCGGGGAGAATGGCTGCATATCCGAAGTCAGGTGAAGTTCGCCATCTCCATCTCGTGACATGCGCGTGAGGATGAAGTTCAAGGAAGTGCAAAACCACAACCGGATCGAAGGCTCGGGAAGTACATCAACGAAGTTCGGGCCGATATAGCTTGCCTTGAAGTTGACGCAGAAGTCCGTCTCGTTGGCCACATAAGAAGTGCTCCGGGCGAAGAGCTCCGGAAACAGCGCCGCGGACTGAAGTGCCGTCACCACCGGGTTGTCCACGCCAGGTTGAAGTCGAAGTAGCGCGTAGACCAGCCTGAAGTCTGAAGTCCCAGGCAACAGAAGTTTGCTGATCTGGCGGCCCTGGCGAAGTGACTCCAAGAAGTCAGGGACATGCTTGAAGTGCGTGAAGCACACATTGTCCACCGCGAAGTAGCTCATCCCAGCGAAGTGGCTCCAGCCGAGGTGATCTCGGCCATGCCCGAGAAGTCGAGCCGCTTCCTTGCCATAGAAGTGTACCCGAAGTACATCCACGGCCCTGTGAAGTTGCTGGAAGTGCGCCGGGTGAAGTCCGCAGACCGTCTCGAAGTGACCCGAGGCGTAGCGCAACTCCAGCCACGTGTTCTGAGGAAGTGCTCGAGTGGGAAGTCGCGGCGGAAGTTCATCTCTCTCGAAGTTCGGGTCCGGAACGTAGAACTGATGCTCCTCCACGAAGTTGCGGAAGTCCCTCGTCATTTCGGCCTCTTCCGAAGTCGAGGGTCCTGGCAGTGCTGCCGGAGGAAGTCCAAGAGCCACTGCCTTTGGCACCGGAACCTGAAGTTTGGGGGCCATCTTCTCGAAGTAGAAGCACACAAACCACTGAAGACGTCGATCGCAAAGAAGTCTGTACCAAAACCACGTCCCAACAGAAGTGGGCACAATCCGGTATGAAGTGAAAAATTCCATGTCCCAACCGAAGTGGGCACAATCCGGTGTGAAGTTCGCAAACCATACATGCAGAAACGAATACCAAAGCGAAGTTGCCAAGAACCCAGCCAGAAGTAAGAAACCCAAGCAGAAGCCATGGCGGCAACGAAGTGAGGCACGAAGTCGCAGCCCAAAGGAGCGGCGGCGGCCATGAAGTCCTTGCAAAGGCGGCTCTGGGGCGAAGATCTGAAACACAGAGGACCTCACTGACCCTGAAGTTGAAAGGGGAGCTCTGCCTTTAAAGCAAACGAATTGAAGTGAAACATCTTTCTGCACAGCATCCTAGAAGTTAGGGCAGCCTACCAAAAGGGTAGCCTACACCTAAGGTTCCTAGATGCCTCTGAAGTACCTCACGTGAAACATACTTGGTCAACACATCAGCGGGGTTCGAAGTACCGGCAACTTTCTTCACTTGAAGTATGTTTTGTTGAACCAACTCTTGCATGAAAAGATAGCGAAGTTCGACATGCCGAGTTTTCTTCGAAACACCGAAGCGCGTCGACATGCTTTTTCCGGCCGAAGAATCTGTGAAAACGCGTATGTTCACGCGCGAAGTGATGTTCATTTCGATGAGAAGTGATTTTACGAAAAGGCTCTCCGAAGTGCCCAGGCCAATGCTGTAAAGCTCGGCCTCTCCAGACGAAGTCGCTATCGTCTGCTGTGTGCGGCTTTGCGAAGCAATTAAGCAACCGTTGAAGAACACAGACACACCCGAAGTACTCTTCCTCGTAGTGACACAACCTGCCCAATCACTATCTACATACGCTACCACATCAAGAGAAGTCATTTCCCGACGAAGCATGACCCTCGGCCGAAGTGTCAGGACGCAAGCCTTGCTCCCTGCAAGGTACCGAAGTAGCATCTTGACCTTGGCCTTGTGATCCTCTGTCGGGGAAGTTAATCCTCGAGACAGTTCCTTGACAGCGTACTGAATGTCAGGGCGAATGCTGCTAAGCCAGAGAAGTTGGCCTACCACTCGTCTGTACTTACGGTGCTCGACTGTATCCAAAGGCTCTTCGGATTCGATTTTCTTACGAAGTGAGTCGTTGCCGGGCACAGGGCTATGCCTACACTCCAAAAGAGCATATTCTTCTAGAATCTTGTCAACATACGAAGTAGGCATGGAAATCTCGATCGCATCTTCGCGTCGTGTGATGCATCTACCTAAGAAGTTGATACTCTCCCCCGGCTGAAGCGTCCCTTCCCGTCTCAAAAGAAGACGTTCCTGAAGTTTGGCAAACAGGTGCTCACACGGCTCCTTTGCACCGAAGAGAAGTACATCATCTACGTAGCAAAGAAGGTACACCTTGTACTCAGGATGGAAGTAGAGATTAGGATCGCTTTTAAGACGCTTGAAGCCGAGATCGGCCATCACGCTCGCGAAGTGGGTCTGCCATGCCTTCGGACTCTGTTTCAGTCCGTACATGGCTCTGCGAAGTTTCCATAGCACTCCACCGTTGGGGTAGAATTCACCCGGAGGGATCACAAAGATCTCTTCACTCAGAAGTGCGTGGAGAAACGCTGTGGACACATCGCCAGCAAGAACGAACCAGTTGAAAGTGCACGCAAGTGTAAGAAGAAGTTTGAGCGTAGCAAGCGAAGGTGTGCTGGCGAAAGTGTCGTCTGGGTCCTCGACGACTTGGTCGAAGCCTCTGACACACAGCCTGCAACGCACACCATCTCCCTTAGGGCGCTTAACCCATTTCGTGGAGATTGCGTCTCGAAGTTGCTCCTCGGAACACTCGCTCACAAGCTTTTCTTCGAACACATCGAAGTGCTGAGGAGATTCACGCTCTTTCTGCATGCCTTGAAGTTCTTGCTCCTTGTCAAACTCCGTGTCGTACCAGACAACAGGCTCACTTGCACGCAAGGCCTGAAGTTCTTCAGCACGGTCAACGTTAACCTCGACAGGAACTTCAAGACCGTCACGCGTGGTCACAGAAGCAACGCAAGAAGTGTCAACCAGGCGATCCTCAAGCACCGCAGAGATTCGCCGAAGTTTGGTCGCACTGTCCGGGACCTCCGCGGAGATCTCGCGCTTCTCTCCCTGCGACTGTTCCAGCCTGGCCCGAAGTTGCGAAGGCGCATCCTCTGGAGGTGCCTCTGCGCTGCGCTTGCTTCCAGAAGTGCCGTCGGCACTGGAGCCGGCCGCGTCCTGCGCTCCCTGCGGGTCTGAGACTGCAGGCGCTGCGGCAGGCGAAGCTTCAGACTGGGCTGGAAGAACGAAGTGAGCACTCTCCTCTTGGCGACCACGCGGGTCCCAAGGAGTCGCTTTTAACGAGTCAAGAAGCTCCTTGCTCACTTGATCCTCCGCAGGAAGTCTCCTGACGCTTCGTGTCTTGTACACGCCGTTTGCATTGCCGACAACATGCATGTCCGAAGTGGTTTCACGACCAAGCCACAACGCACGCTCCCAAGCAGGCTCAGCTTTAGGCACACGACCAGGAAGTCGGAACAAGACCACTTCTCCAAAGCGACAGACCGCAGAAGTGTACTTGCGGTCCCAGCGACGTTCGTAGGGCGTTTGCCCATCAGAACGAACAGAGAAGTTGTTCAACAAGAACTGTGCGTGCTTCACAAGCCACGGGAACACTGGCGAAGTGACAGGGATCTGGCAGTCGTACCTCTCTGCCAGGTCGAGTCGAAGTGCTCGTACCTGTGAGTAGAGAAGTGCCTGCGCCTGTCCAACTGCACCTTGAGCCTGCTTCCACTCAGTAGGGCTGTTTCTCAACGACAAGCCACCTATTTCTGAAGTGACCGTCTCCGCTACAGCCTTGAGAGAAGGCTCTGGGTCGCACTGAAGTATGCCGAATGTCCGGCCAACGTCCTGCACGAAGCGACGAAGTTCCGCTTCTGCATAGACGGAGTGACCTTTATTCGGCACAACCACCGAGAGAGACATGCCTGTGATCACATCTCGCACGTTGAGAAGTGTAGCTTGGTTCTCTCCCTTGTCCGGCATGAAGGAGTAGTCGCATTGAAGCACGGGTTGCCTCATGCGAAGTTTCTTCGAGTGGTCCTGCCGGCTTTTGGCTTGAACACAGATCTTGCACCAGCTTCTGAAGGGAAGATGTGTGAGGTTGTGTTCTTCCCTTTCTTGTTCAGTTGGTGCCTTTGGTGCGCGAAGTGTCTTGGGCACTCTGGCGTCGGTGTCCTCACCAGCAACCGGAACGGGAAGTGGCTCAACGACCTCTTCCTCCGGCTTGGCGAAACACGTAGCTCCTGTGAAAGTGAAGCCAACCTCTCTCTTGGAGGCTTCGCTTTCGAAGTCCCAATTATCTTCGCGCCACTGGTCACCTTCCGAAGTGCACAAGCAAGTCATGCGCTCACGACCAAGCTGGGTGACATCAGGGCCACCTTGAAGTTCCTCCTCGTTGGGAACAAACAACGTGCTACGCGGAACGAAGTGGAAGCGAATCCACATCAACGGTGTGTCCAACCAGAAGTCATGTTCATACGGAAGGCCTGTGCTTGGATCTGGCTCTTGAAGTTGAGATGCCACAAAGCGTCTCACACTTGCCTCATTTCCATCCGAAGCTTCACGAAGGCTCTTCTGAAAATCAGACCTCTTCGGATACAGCGAAATTTCTGGTCTGAAAGACTCTGTCGCAACAGGGGCGCGAGAAGTGCGCGCTTGCTCAACTGGAGGAGAAGCTTTCGGATCCTCGTGGGCCGGCGGAGTGAGAAGTGACCTCTTCTGAAGAAGTCTCGTCGGCGGGCGCTGGTTCGGAGGAGTTGTAAGTTTAAACTCCGTTCTTCCTTTCCAGAAGTGATCCAGCGCTCGCGTGGGCTCATCTGAAGTGACCCAGTTGTCCGTGAGCTCCTTCTCATTTCCTTGAGCATCAACCACGAAGGTTTTCCGCTCTTGAGCAAGCTTGTTCAGCGCCACTGGTCTATCTGAAGTGCCGCTTGGCACAAACAGATTTTTGCGAGGGCGCTTGTGATACCGCACAAGAACGTTTCTTGCGGGATCGAAGTGCCAACGATCAGCGTGGTAGTACACAGGCTTAAACGCTGACACCGTGCTCTCAGCCTCCGTTGCGAAGTTTTCGTGGAACGCAACACACACCAACTCGAAGTCGTGCTTGACAAAAGGAAGTATTTCCGGCTTCAAGAAAAGAAGTGAACCCTCACGCTCAACAGGAAGGTGCTTGCCATCTGGAGCGTGAAGTGTCAGCTCATCCTTTCCTAAAGTTGCGGTGTAGTTCTGGGCTAGAAGTCTTCCTACCGAAACGATAGGATAGCCAATGTCTGTGACATAGAAGTGCATGTGAAACTCAACATCACCTATCTTCATTCCTACAAGTCGTCTACCGTAGATGTTGAGGAGCTGCCCTGTTACACTGCGAAGTGGAGGCGCTCTGTCTTGGAGTGGGAGCAACGGCCACTCTCGGGCGAAGTTCTTGGGGCAGCAATGAGCTGCTGCACCGCTGTCAAACAAAATCCACTGCGGGCTTAAAGAAGTTACAGAAGCGACATGTTCCTCAAAGAACACATCCTTGAAAGAAGTGTTGAGGTGACTCAAACCCGAAGTGAAAAGCGTACTGAGAAGTGTGGACTCCTGACCGGGTCCTTCGTCTTCGAAGTTCGGCATTGGCATCGTCGGGGCGATGCTGAACGAAGACCCTGAAGTTACACTACCTAGCGTAACCGCAGCAAGCAGAAGTCCTGAGGCTGTTGAGGCTTTCGGCTTGGGTGAGGCTTTGGCTTTCGAAGTTTTGTCGGGAAGTGAAAGGCCTGGAGGCTCACCGAAGGTAACAGCCGAAACCTTGTCAGCCGAAGTTGCTGAAGTCTGCGTAGCTGCTGGTGGTACCGGCGCTTGGTTTGAAGTTTCGCTTGAGGTGGCTGGTTGGGAGGCTTGAGAGAAGGAAGTCGGGTCGTAAGCCCAAGGATCCTCATTCCAAGCAGAAGTCCACCACGATCCATCATCCCATGCATCAACCTGCCATGTGAAGTCATCAATTGCACCGATCCACGAAGCATCATCCCATGAGGCATCCCAGGCATCACCGAAGTCATGCCCTGCGTCATACTCTCCTGTCCAATCTGCATTCCAATCACCTGAAGTCTCATCTACCGCGGAAACACGATACTGATGCGGACACTCTCTCGAAGTGTGGCCAATTTGGCCGCACGTCCAACATGTGATTGCTCCCGTCTTTCCTGAACCCGAAGTTCCTTTCTTTCCATATCCTTCCTTTCCTCCTTTTCCTTTTCCTGATCCTTTGAAGTTTCCTTTCATTCCTTTTCCTGATTTCCCTTTTCCTTTCATGAAGTTCCAGTGGCCGAAACCACTCTTTCCTCCTTTCATTCCTTTGGGGCCGAAGCCCTTTCCTTTTCCTTTCTTTCCTTTGAAGTTTCCTTTGCCCCAACCTTTCAGGGCTCCTACATCCATCGGGGCTGGACCTTGAGAACTTGAAGCTGTGCCCTGAAGCATAAGCCTTGATCTGAAGTACGATACAATCACTTCTCTCATCTGCGCGTAGGTCCTGATCGAAGTCGAGTTCAACCTCAGGTGCTGCTGAAGTTGTCCTGAAGTCTTATTCAACAACGTAGCTATGAGAACTCCGTCGGGCAGCGAAGTGCCTGTGAGCGTCTCGTATCTGACCTTGACCGTCTCCCATGAAGTGAAGTCTTGCTCGAACGTATGCGTGTTGAATTTCCAATCAAGAACTTGTGCGAGAAGTGCGTGCTCGCGCTGCGCGTTGGGCATGCTGAATTTCTGTTGAAGTCTTCTCCAAGTTTCGAAGCCGTTTCCACCGACGTTCTGACGAACTACAAGTTTCGCGGCACCCGAAGTGAGATTTGCGAGGAGAACATGAAGTTTTCGACTGAAGCGAATGAGCTCGGCTGTTCTGGCTTCCGGGAACCTGTCACCTCTGAAGTGTTCATCTATTACCTCTACGTTCGCATTTCCTGGTCTCTCAAGAAGTTCAGCAATTGCAGGATCAAACAATGAAGCATAGATTGTGAAGTTCCACTGCCATTCTTCCCAGTCCTCAGGATTTCCACTAAAGACCGGCGGAAGTGGCAACCGAAGTTTGCCTGCGAACTCTCCTTCTAGCTCAGCTGCTGACATCTGCGAAGTTTCCTACAAAGGCCTAGGAGCACGAAGCTCCGCTACCATGAAAAAGTACAAAGCGTCTGAAGTATGCACAAACAGAGCTCAACCCTGAAGTCAGCACAGCACTCTGAAGTCCTCTTTGTCACAGCCAGCCTTGAGCCACACGAAGTGTGGTGGTCGAAGTAAGCTGGAAGGAAGTTACTGTACCGGGGAGGTGCACAGAAGTCTTATATCTTAACAAACGACAACAACAACAGCAACAACAACAACACCAACAACAGCAGCAACAACAACAACCACGACCAACAGCAACATCATCATCAACAACAACAGCAACAGCAACAGCAGCAGCAACAGCAACAGCAACAACAACAACAACCAGGACGACGACCACGACGACATCAAGGAAACTCCGATGAACCCTCCACAGGGATCCTGCGCGTCGATGTGCTGGCGCTGTGGTGCGGTGCAAATTTTCTACGTCCCCGATGAACCCTCCACAGGGATCCTGCGCGTCGAAGCGCTGGCGCTGTGGTGCGGTGCAAATTTTCTACGTGCTCGATGAACCTTCCACAAGGATCCTGTGCGTCGAAGCGCTGGCGCTGTGGTGCGGTGCAAGTTTTCTACGTCCCCGATAAACCTTCCACAGGGATCCTGCGTGTCAAAGCGCTGGCGCTGTGGTGCGGCGCAAATTCTTTACGTCCCCGATGAACCCTCTACAGGGATCCTGAGTGTCCAACCTTAAACCAAGGGTTGGCCGCACCTCGGAGAAAAAAGGGTTGGCCGCACCTCTGAAAAAAAAAAACCCCCGCCCTTCTTGGCTTTTCGGCTTCTTGGCTTTTTTCTTCGGCATAGAGAGCCTCATAAATCAGTCCTTAAGTCACGCCCTCAACCCTAAGCCGAGCCGAGGCGAATTTAGGTCGGTAAAGCGGGATAGAAGTTAAAAAAAAATTAAATAAGGATAAAAAAAATTAAATAAGGATCCAAAAAAATTAAATAAGGATCAAAAAACCTTAAACGGGTATCCGCGAAAGGAAGGGGAAAAAGGAACGAAAGACAGAGAGAGAGAGAGAGAAGGAAAGAAAGAAAGAACGAAAGAAAGGAAGAAAGAAAGCAAGGAAGAAAGAAAGAAAGAACGAAAGAAAGAACGAAAGAAAGAACGAAAGAAAGAACGAAATAAAGAAATAAAGAAACAACGAAAGAAAGAAAGAACAAAAGAAATAAATAAAGAAACAACGAAAGAAAGAAAGCCATGCAAGAAACAGAAAAAATAAGTAAATAAAGAAAGCTATAAGTAAAGAATGAAAACAAAAATAGAGAACTAAGTAAAGAAAGAAAGCTACAAGGAAAGAAAAAAGAAAACACAAGGAAAGAACCAAAGAGAGTTGACAACTTAGAGAAATACCACGGAATCCGTAGGAAAATCGTGTTTTCCCCAAGAAAAACCAAGCAAATCCTTAGGAAACGAAAGAAAAATCCCTAGGAAAGCAGTGTTTTCCCTTGGAAAAATTCAAGAATTGCTGTATCTAAAAAGCAAGAAAGAAAGACAGAAAGAAAGAAAAAACGAGAGAGATAACGAAAGAACGAAAGCAAAAACAAGAGGAAGAACGAAAGCAAGAACTAAAGAAAGAAACTTAAGGAAATACAACGGAATCCGTAGGAAAATCGTGTTTTCCCGAACCAAAAACCAAGCAAATCCTCAGGAAATGAAAACGAATCCGTATGAAAACAGTGTTTCCCCTGGGAAAAATTCAAGAATTGCTGTATCTAAAGAGGACGAAAACAAGGAAAACAGAAAGAAAGAAAGATAGAACGAGAGAGAGAACGAAAGAACGAAAGCAAAAACGAAAGAAAGAACGAAAGCAAGAACGAAAGAAAGAACGAACCAAAGAAAGAACGAAATAAATCAAACCAGAAAGGAAAGCAAGAAAGAAAGGAAGGGAGTATGAGATGAACAAAGAAAGAACAACAGAAAGAAAGAAAAGAAATGAACGAGCGAAAGAAAGAAAGAAGTCCAGAATAAAAAAGCAAAGTTGGAAAATACGAAAGAGAAAGAATATGAAAAAAATCACAGAAACAAAGATACAAGCAACAGGATACTACATAGCCCAATCGAATTTACCATAATATCGTAATGTACCGTAACATAATATAACATAATGTAAATGTAACCTATAAAATATACTACATATTATGTTGTAAATATACACACTGTACTGTACTATGTTACAATGTACTACACTATAAACTAAGATGTTGTTTTGTTCTATGTCATCTTCTGTTATATTGTATTGTTGTATTTTTAGTATGCTATTATATGCTATAAGAAGCAAGGTTCTGTGATGTCAGAAAATGTCACACCATTTTTGTGTTGTCGAACCATCTTATGTCGTTCTTCTGGTTTACTATGTTATATATATTAGGTTAGAATGCTAACGGAAGAAGAGACACGAACAGGCACGGAAGAACAAAACACCCGCCGCCGCGCTTTTCGAGACGTGCAAGCTTGATTCAAAGAGTGTTTTCGAAGCCCATCATGTGAACGTTGTCTCTGCAAATGGGGGGGTTGCGCCCCCCCCTACCCCCCCGCTGTTTTAAGCCGTGCAGGGTTGCTTTTATTCATATGCCTTTTTTTGAAACCCAGCAAATGAGGGCATTAGGGGTACCTTATTTTGGGCGCCTCGCAATAAGGATCCTACTATTTTATGGGTACTATGAGGGTCCCCTATTTTCGACAACTATTACTATTACTTTTACTCTCCCTATTGCGATTGCTATTGCTATATTACTATTGCTATCGCTTTTGCTATTGCTATTGCTATTACTATTACTATTGCTCTTGCTGTTGCTATTGCTGTTGCTGTTGTTATTGCTGATTGCTACTACTTTTACTCTCACTGCTACTATTACTCTTACTCTTACTATTGCTGTTGCTGTTGCTATTGCCATTACTACGACTACTATTACTACTACTACTACTACTACTACTACTACTACTACTACTACTACTAGTGCTACTACTACTACTACTGCTACTGCTACTACTAGTACTACCACTACTACTACTACTACAACTACTACTACTACTACTACTACTACTGCTACTGGTACTGCGACTGCTACTGCGACTGGTGCTACAACTACAACTACAACACTACTACTACTACTACTACTTCTACTACTAGGGGTCTTGTTGGGTTTAGAGCTAGGCGGCATTTGAGGTTTTCGGATGTAGGACTTGTTCTGTGGGCCTAGAGTGGGCGCGGAAAATGTTTGGGTTTGGGGTTCAGGGTTTAGGGTATGGGGTGTAGTGTAGGGTTTAGTGCAAAGAGTTTAGGGTTTAAATTTAGGGTTTCGGCTTAGGGTGCTGACAGGGGCCACAAGACTTAACACGACAGGGGCAGCAATAGCAACATGAGAAACAAACGTAGGAGCAATCCATGGTATCAGAACTGAGCACGCAGCACCATACACAGGTTCGATTTCAAAGCCCTGAGTTTAAAAAAACCCAATCCCAACGCCCCAAACCCTCAGCTGTAAATCTGCAGGCTCAGAAAGGAACCCCCACGATCTTCGGTGCCCTGCAAGGCAATGCAACACGGCCAAGCAAACCACACAAAAAAAAAATGCAAAAAAAAAAAATCCCAAACTAATTCCAGACCCTTTAGAAAATCCCTTTGGGGGGGCCATTGTAAGAAAGATGTTTGTTGGTTGGGAACCTTCGGGGCACCGAAGTCTTTCAGATGGGCTTGAACCCATAAAACAACACCCCCAATCCCGAAGCCCGAAGCAATTCCGAAGCTTTGAACATGTCCCGTAGTTCCGAATCCACGTGTTCGACCTCGGGTACCTAAACCCCAACGCAAAAGAATCCGCACGCCCCTCTATGCCTCTAAATCCTCAAGCAGGTGCCGGACAGACAGTGGCCGTGGTGGGCCGCAGTGGCGCGGGAAAGCGGGCTCCCGAGTTCATGATCGAGTTTTTCTGGGGTTTAGGGTTTACGGATTTAGGGTTTAGGGTTTACGGTGGTTTCAGTTCGAGTTTAGGGATGTCTAGGGTTTGGAGTTTAGTGTTGCTTTGGAGGTGGAAACAATTCGTCATAGGACTTTGTAGGGCTCAGTATGATTCTTGCAGTATGGTGACCACCACATCCCTATTCCGATTATTCAGGCCCCTGTAGGGTTTGTTTAGGGATGGAGGTCTAGCCATAGATTCAGAGATTCGGATCTACAGTTTAAAGTGTAGAG